AACACCTGTAAAACGTTGCAGTATTTCATACCATCGTCAGTTCCATATTTTAATCTTTTATCAGTAAAGTAGCTTTTTCCTTCGTCCTGCATTTCTACGAGTTTTTTGATTTGTATGCCCAGTCTTATAAATGATTTTGATGCTTACCTGATCACGATCTTTACACTGCATACCTGCTTCACATTGCTTACTTCACTGTTCACCACTGTATCATTGCGGTATCAAAATGTCGACGACCGACAGCCCGCTTTATGAATCCCTACAGCCGCCTGCGCTGGAGATCCGACTCCCTGTACCGTAAGTTTATTATTTTTCTCCCCTTCTATATTTGGTTTTAATTTCGAGGGTCCTAACCCTATCGTTTTATGCCTCCCCACAAGCCTAGTAATCACCCTAACATGGGGTCAGACGTTGACTAGATAGCTGACCAATGTGGTAACAGATGCTTCTGGATTTCAATCCCGGGAAATGGATCACATCTCTTTCTCGATGATCCTTATGTGGCCACAGAATTTCCCTGGGCGGGTTGGAAGTTATACCAACAGTTCCAACAGGGTGCGCCACGTGAAGGTTAGGTTGGCAGTTAGGTAGATTGAACTAATCAACCTATAACTGCCTCATCAATTGTTTCTTTTAATTCGGCGCAAAAGTCGTTATATTTGCCGCCTTTTCTTAGTTCTAATAGTATGGCCCTCTTTCTAGTTTTGCGTATGGGCCGGATTGCCACTTCTTTAGCATCTAATAGTACGGCCCCGCTCCTAGTTTTACGTATGGATCAGATTGCCGCTTCTTCAGCATCTGGCTTCATATACGTTTGTAGGTCCGCATATGTGTTTCGTTCATTTGGTTTGATGAAAACAGCTTTCGGTTTCTCACAAATCCTAGGCTTCTCTTTTCGTATTACCGATTGCTTCGCTTTTTGTTTTTTGCGTGTTACCTTTACCCATTTTTTCTCATTTTTTTCTTTGCCGCCTTTTGTGGATCCTGCAGATTCTTTTGTATTCAGTTTTTTCTCTGGTGTTTCCGCCGCTGGGCTTGTCGCTGCACGCTCTGCACTCTGTCGCAAGGCAATCTGGCCTTGCGTACACTATAACGTGCTGTAACGACCTTTTCTGGCCCTTTCTATAGCTGGGGTATACTCAGCGAGGATACCAGGGTTCGTTTTAAGAAATAAATTTAAAAAAATATATAAAGAAACACTTCTGTTTATAGCAGCGTTTATTGTTTAGTAAAAAAAAGATACAATCAAGTTCTGGAAAGTTGTGTTGTAGACTGTTGTAAATGTTGTAAACAGGAAAAATTTCAAATCAATAAAGTAATGTCAAATGCGTAAGCGTTGTATGCGTTGCAATTGTTGCGAGCGTAGAAATCGTTGTAGTATTACAATCGTTAGAAGCGTTGTAAGCGTTGCAATCGTTGAGAGGCATTGGAATCGTTGTGGTTAGTGGTGTAAAAAAACCTGTAACAAGAGGAATTCCAAATAGCTTCCATTCAATAAAATCCTTGTCAAACAAAATTCTCTTTTCAATGCGAAACCTGGCCAGGATTGTCAGCAATTGCCAAACGCTCGTAGATCCACACGCTTTCTAACAGTGTCGGTGACCCGTCATCCATTCTTCCATCAGCTATGGCCAATTGGAAACCTGGTCAACTGGTTAAATTACGCTACGCCAGTAAAAGTCAAGCAAAAGGTAATTCAACCACCATCACTTCACTCAAACCAGTTCACCCATTCACATGGTGATCGTCAGCAATGGCCAAACGAACCAACATGTGCCTAGACCAACTAGTCTGAGCTCCCACTGTTGTCCCTAACAAAATCGTTACTTACCTGTAACAGGAGAAATTCCAAATAGAACCATTTGACAATTTTGCTGCCCTTTTATTTGAAATTCCTTCCATTGCAGACAAAAACAAAAATATTTTCGAGTAAACAAAGTCCCGTAAATTTGTCAAAACAAATTTCTTATTGTTGTACGCATTGGAATCAAATTTAATAAAAATAACTGCATCACATAAAAATGCGTACAAATTTCTTAAATTTATTTTTGTTTTAATTTTTGAGTCGTTACTTCGAACGACCAATATTCCTAATATTAGGAATTCTCCTGATGAAGGCAAAAGCGAATTTGCCGAAACACGTGTAGAGATACACAAAAAAAAAACTTTCGAAATAAAAGTTAATATATTTTAAAAAACAAAAATAACCGCATTCTTAAATTTGTTTATGCAGACAAACAAGACAAAGAGTTACAACAAATATACCTACCTTTTATTAGCGCAAAAAACTAATCAAAACCTATTTTAGATTACAGGGTCATTCGTTTATAAAAAATATTTGTTTAATATGTTTTAAAAAACTCGCTAAATGTAACTAACAATTTAATTTGTGGGGTTAAATTTTACTGTAAAATTTGGGCCGTACAGTGCTCTCTCGTCTTCTGCCTTAATCCAACTTCGGCGGTAATAACCCAAAACATCAACTTGCTCTTGCAGCTCTAGAACAGCCTCTTTAATGTCGAGACACCAGTGTATCTTGTTTAGTGCGGGAGTGCATTTTTCTAGTGACACCATTTCATCACTCTTCATTTTCTGAATGTACTCGTGTCTCGATGAAATAAGTACATCTACTGTTTGTGGAGGTACTTTCGGTGTGCCCACATCTATTACGGACTCTTTTTGACCATCTAGTGATGGCACTTGTATTTCTTGCATTTCCTGTTGTGTTGTGTGATTTTCTTTTTTCTTCTGTATTTCCTAGCCGCTATCGATGTTCGATTGTATAATCGCTCATAATGATTACCATGGTTATCTATGCAAGGCAGGGAGGCCATGCAAGGGTTGAGGTAATTTCTTATGGGAAATTGTATTCAGAGCCATGATTTGGCGCAGATCAGAAGTACTCTGAATTGAACCTATATCATCAACTTAACTGTGACGAGACATCGAACCTACTTGATGACTTGTCAAGTTTTAAAAGGACGGAGGAAGATGTAGCATTAACCTGAAAACCATTTCTATGAGATATCACTTTCAAATACTGAAGTAATAGAATACATCAGACGGTCCGGAAATTGTCATTTTCATCGTCTGCTTCCAGTATACCATAATCAAGATCTTATTGGGCTCGACCCTGATGGATGTTTAAACCCAGAATACATAGTTATTTTACATTGCTTGTCTTTGCATGTATTTTTAATCTTTCATGCCTAACATGGTGTTTTCATTGAGCACAAAAGTACTAAATCGTTGGTGCAACTGCTGTCTCTTAGGACAGTGGACACGCCTGTACATCGTCGGTGTGCAGCTGTTTAACCACTGTCTGCGCACTTGGATGTCCCTCGTTTTCATTCCGGGATGGTGGAAGCTTTTTTAGGGCTGGCGTCTACTCTGCTCAGCTCAGGAGCTTCTCAGGGTTTTTTGTGACCTTTTAAGTCACACCCTTCGACGCATGGCTGGATTTTAGTCGCCTCTTACGACAGGCATGCCTTATTCTAACCCTTATCCCGCAGGGGGATTAAAAATATTTATTTGATAAAATTTTGGTTGTTTTCAAAAAACTATAAATAGATTTTTTCATTGACTTGGCAATATTGTTTTTGAAGTTTTTGACGTTAGCATGATTTTGAATATACTTTGAAACACATTGTAAGGGTGGAAATTTGATACCAAATTTCTTCCTACATAAAATACACTTGAATTACAAATATCGACATTAACCTGAATTTATACAATACATTTATGGCAATATTAATTTTTAAGAAATTAAAACACAGTAGTGAACTTGTATTCCGTTATTAATTTTTTAGCACTTATTGTAGAGTAATGTCTGTAAAAAATGATTTTAATAAATGGTTGTCAAAACCAAATAAATGTACCAACGTATCAAAACCCACCCCGCATGTGCATATCTGTAATGCCCTGACTGAATTGATTTAATCTCTAAATATAGAAATTAATTAAGTAAATAAATAAAAAAAAGGAATGTATATAAAATACGTACCACATTTATTTTATTTAATTTTGGCTTATTAAAACACAAAAAAACTAGAACCGTACGGTAATGTCTGCTGATAAAATCAAAACAAAACACGGCAACAACCAAACAAGAATTGTCAAAAATTTTCACCGTAGAAGTATTTCGAAAATGGCAAGAGAGTGCAAAGAAAATTAAATATGTCTATTAAGTACCGCATACAAGATGAGACAGCAAAAAACAAAACGGAGAAATAAACAAAAGATCAAAAAAAACCAGCTGTAAACAAAAATGATGCGCTACTCGAAAGAAGTAATTGCTTATATTATATATATAAGAATACTCTCTAAAGCAGAAGTATTCAGCGACGGAATAATTATATCGAAGTACAAAGATACGACAGGTGGTATAACGTCGAATGTATCAAGTAATTACTTAAAATATATATGTAAGAATACTTTCTAAAGCAGAAATATTCAGCGAAGAAATAATTATATCGAAGTTGAAAGATACGGCAGGTGATTTAACCTCGACTGTAGCTGAAGTAATTCCCTATAATACGCCAAATATAATTGTTCATAAATACCCTTTGAATAAAATTCCCATTGATAAATCAGAAACACAAGAGCCTGAAGGAAGACCACCGAAGAAAGTCAAGCAGTCCCGCACAAAGGATTCATATTTAGGACATCTCTATCATTTAAAATAAATTCTTTTAAATACATATTTTGTTCTTAAATTTTAATATAATTAAATATACTTAATAAAATAAAAGTATTAACAAAAGAAATTTAAAAGAAATCGTAATTTTGAATATTTCGGTCACAATTCATAAATTTATTGTGACGACTTTGAAAAAGCTGAGGATACCCCAGCAAATAGACTTTGAGGAAAATGTCGTTATAACGTATTAGCAGTCAAAATTCAACTCGCACACTTTTTTCAACTTTGTTGATCAACTCCCAAGGAAAATTCCATTTAATTTAGCATTGTCAAAAATTCCATTTAGTCATTGTCAATATTTTCATTGCAGTGCTTTGTGATAAACGATGTTTTTTGTTTGATTACCTGGCGCATAAACAAACAAATCTGATGGTTTTCCAACACGGGAACAGGCAACGTACAATTGACCATGTGAGAAACATGGGTTTTGTAGATTAATACCACAAACACTTAATGATTGCCTCTGGGACTTGTTTATGGAAATAGCAAAAGCAAGCCGCACTGGAAACTGTAGTCGCTTAAACTCAAATGGTACATCAGTCGGAATCAGTGGGATGCGTGGTATCAAAATATCTTCTCTTTTATACTTTCCTTTCAGTATAGTTGCTTTTATCACGTTGTTCAGTAATTTTTTTATCGCTAACTGTGTGCCGTTGCAAAGACGCGATTGATTGATATTTCGCAATATTATAACTACTGATCCAACCTTTAATTGAAGATTGTGAGGTGGCAATCCTGGCAAATCTAGCGAGTTTAAGAATTCCGGTGGATAGTTGACGACATCATCTTCGTTAGTAGCCGAATCAACTGATTTATATATTCTCAATTTGCTTGGAATTTTTTCTTAAATTTTGAAATTTAATTCATTTACATCTATGTTTTCTGCAGCCAATATAGCTCGTTCACTCAATCAATCATGGTTTCTGTAATTTTGAGCAACATCTGGTAGCACCTTTTGAATAAGTATTTATTTAAATTATTTACAGCTCATATATTATTGACAGTATTTAATTATGTATTATATTTGAAATTTGAAATATTTGAAATACTGATAATGTTGCTTAGACAACAATAAAGTTTAAATTGAATCTACGTTTTAGTCAGAAAACATTTGTATGGGAAAAAGAAAAGGGTTTTTTTTAGGGTTTTCCCGACAATTATTAAATTTTTTTCTCGCCGTAAAAACCATCCTTGGACTTCAACGAACATTTAAAAAAAAGAATTGACCAAATTGGTCCAGGCGTTGTTGAGTTATGCGATGACCAACACATTTTTCGCTTCATTTTTATATATAAAATTGTAATTTTATTTTTATATGTATCATTAGTATACATACTTATTTGACCGTTACAATCTGTTACCGAGTTTCGACCTAACGCAGCATGTCAATCGTTGGGTATAGTTTCGTCCAACCATATTCTACAGATAAGCTGTTGCATGCCTCCTATCAGCAAACCACCGCTGACCTTGAACAACTCTTAAGGCAGGTCATTTGCACCTGCCGCGTGGTTCTTTAATTGCTTTACAGCAAGACGCACTTTGTTATGGTCATGTGAAGAAATTTCAACAGCAATATTTTCAATTGGGAGAGAGCATTTTGCCAAAGACGGAATTGATATTATCATCGTCAGATAATAGTTTGGAGAAATGTTTTTTTCATACCTTACAGGTTAATGCTTCGGGCTTAAAGCTTTTATTCAGACGTTTGGCTTTTTGGTAAAACTCACAGACATTATTTCTGTTCCTACACACCTTAATTTCCTCTCATTTGCGCCTTTCTTGATCTCGTTTTTTCCATCTGAATAAGCGTCTTTCTACTTTCTTTATCTCCCAATGTTGTTCACGCACGGTTCGCATAGCTGCTGACTGTAGGGTCCTTTTATAGGCCGCGTTTCTCGCAGCACTAGTTTGGCGACATTCGTCATAGTACCATTGGTTTCGTCGTGGGGAAGTTGTAAACCAAGGACATCTTCTCCATATGTGCTTAGGGAGTGAGAAATATGTCGCCATTGTCTACCGGCATTCTCGGGACGGGAGAGAATGAATGTTAGAGAGATGAGAGATGAAGACCTTCGACTGTCTGTCCTTATCGCATCTTACAGACGTCAAGTTTTTCTGTCTGCAGTATGTTGATGTATGTTGTATGTATGTAGTTGGCGGTACTATGCCGTATCCGTAACTTTTCTCCCACAGGGACTTCGAAACGAACGTAAGTCTAGCACATTTGAATTGTGTTGTGAGGACGGAAATTTGTACAATTTTCCATGCCAATGGTATTACAACTTCGCCCCAAGTTGAAATCAATCAGTTGTTGGAGGCGAATTCATAGAGGATGAAATTTTCGACAGATGGACCAAAGATTTCGTCTTTGATTTCGACAGAGATTTCATACCTGATTTCGAGTCTCTTGATAATCACAAAATCGCATCCAAATGCATGCCCAAGGTAAATGCAAACAGAGGCATGGCCTTGAATTTAAAGTCTTTACATTCACTTTTCTATTTAATTTTGTGATAAGCGGGTTTTCGCTGCTGGCACTGTTAAATAATTAATTTCATCATAAGATGATAACAGCATTAATAATAAAGAAATACCAAAATAAACAAACAATTTTATCCATTTCGTCACTTTTAGCTTCCAAAAGTTTACAACTCACTTATTAAATAATCAAATATATTAGCATTTTTCTTTTTTGTTTTGGTGAATTACATTAATTTATTAAATATTGAAACTAACAACTTTTCAAATCTCAAAGCTAATATAATTTTTTTCGTTTCCTGTACCACTGTACTAGCAAATATTACATTATCATTAATAAGTTACTACGTAATAACTAGTTTTTGAATGTTCTTTGACATAAAAAATGTAGACTCAATATTATTGAGAACAATTATTGTAGTATAGACAAATATTAATAATAAAAAATTTTTGAAGTGGGAAAATAAATTCCATGTGAGTTCTGATTTATGTGTTAGAAAATTTAATTTGTAATTTAATTTATAAACTGTCTTATGAGTTCATGGTGTCTTAGTTTGAGTTTTCTAGCGCTTGGCTATTAGGATGGTTTAATAATCAAGATATGTAATTGTTGTCTAATTTGTCAATTTTCTGCATGATCATATTGATCTATTGGTCCTTGTGAATAGTAATGTTTTTTACATTCTAGTAAACGTAATTTTTTAGAGTAAACGTAGTAAACATTTTTTTAGAGTAAACGTAATTTAAATGCATTTTGATTCATTGACTCTAATTTTCTAATTAGTCCGCTATTTCTCCAGTTTATTTAGTTGCTGCAGCAACATATTTGTGGCAGTATTAGGATTTGAATAAATATCAGTAAAAAAACTCTTGACAATTTTTAAAAGTTGAAACTATTATTTAACACATAAATTATTCAATTACAATGGCTGCTATATATATATTTCTGGCGTAATAATGAATATTATCATTATTTATCATCAAAAATTGTTTTATTGTTTTTCAAAGTATTCTCCACACTTTTGCATGCGCTCAAACCAATTATCGAAGCACTTTTTCCACTCCACTCCGATCAACAGCATCTTCTGGCGACGAAAATCGTTGACTAAGCATTTTTTTCTTGATGTGCGGAAATAAAAAGAAGTCATTGGGTGCCAAGTCAGGGCTGTACGGCGGATGACTCATCAATTCGACGTTTTGGTCGGTCAAAAAGGCGCTGGTTTAAGCTGATGTGTGAGAGCTCGCGTTATCATGGTGAACAATGATTCGTCTTCTCTAGTTCGCTTTTCGAATTCCTCCGAAATCTTCAGGCAAACAAATTGTGGTGTACCACTCAGAAGTGACCGTCCTTCGTTGCTCAAGCGGAACAGTCGCCACATGATCAGTTTTGCCGAAGAAACAGGCGACCATTTGTTTCGAAGTGCTTCTTCCACGAACAACTTTCGTTGTATTTGGCTCGTTTTCGAAGACCCACACGGTCGATTGTTGTTTTATTTCGGCATCATACGCATAGATCTATGATTCGTCACGTATGACAATCTTGTAAACATCTTTTGAAGCACCGCGAACGTTTTTTTTCAACATTTTTACACCATTTAATTTAATTTTTTGGCCGAGATGAATTTTTCAAGTCTGTAAATAAAACAATTCACAATTAAATGAGAACATGTTCTGAGTGATGTTATACTAAAAAATGTCAACCTTTCCAATGGAAATGTCAGATTGCAGCTGGCAACACTTAGTGTTGCCGAGGGCAGCCCTCGTACAAAACTCATATATTTTACAAAATAATTTATAACTCAATTCATTTCTTCACTTCCACCACTTGCTTACACCAAGTACGTTTCGAATCAAGAAATGGATGGTTGTCTTCGTGAACAACATCGGAACCTTAAGTATCCCCTACCATTTTTTAATTTATGTCTAATTTATTTTCTATATGGTACTATTTTACTTTTACAATTAGAGAAAATGTTATAAATATTTTAGATTAATTTTTTTTTAATGTTATTTTATTAGTTTCAACTCTTTCATTTAACATTTTAAATAACCCTTTTAGTATTTCGTTTTCCTTACATACGTCACTACTTACATACGTCATGTTGTTGTTGATGTTGTGGCCCCTGAGGATTTGAAAGCAGGTAACATAAGACATACATGGGTTAGGATTTATGGTATTCAATCTCACTGATATTAGCTTGCCACTTTCGAAAAAAAATATTTATTTAGTATTAGTGCCGCCATCTATGTGTCAGTCACACACATTATTGAACGAAGTGTTATTAACTCAGTGTCCCCTAACTTTAGGGTCCCTAGTCTCAAGTTTCTTCTTCTGGTGAAAGGTGCTAAGTATGTTTTATTCAGATTAATCGAGTCATTTCTCATGACACCAATTTTGAGTTATATCAAGAGCTAGTTCCATACGATCAGCTATGGTAGAGTCAAATTTGCCTCTAACCATGATAACCAGATCATCTGCAAACCCCTAAATTTCGTATCCGAGGTCATTAAGAGTCTGTTAGAATCCGTCAAAGACTAATAGCCATAGGAGCGGTGGTAGAACGTCTCCTTGAGGGCATCCTTTAATTGACTTGACAGTTAATCTATTAGCTCCAGTTTCAAAGATTATCGTCCTCTTTTCAAGCATATTGAGAACCCATGTTATGATCTGTCTATGTATTCCTTTCCTGAGGATTCCTTCCTCAATTGATCTGAATGTTGCGTTATGAAACACTCCTATAATGTCAACCGATGTGCAGAGAGCTATTTCTTTATCGTTAAAAGGCGACTAATAATCATATTGTTCAATATGTAGAGGTGAAGCTTTAATGTAGACTTCCCTGATATATTGATCTGCTTTCGGTATAAAAGCTACCCTAGTCTTTGTCCAATATTTAGGTATCACGTCTACTTTCAAACTTATCCTAAATTGTTTGTTAATATTGGTGCCAATATATCAACGCCTTTTTGAAGAAGACGAGCTGAAAGTGGAAATGGCCCATTAGTTTTATTGACTGTGAAGATTTTATAATCTAGTGAAAGTTTCCTTCGTGTAACCACCAAGAAACGATGGTTTCCGTAGTCTCAATATACATGGCACAGCTTAGAAAATGACTACCCCGACAATAGCTGTCTCGTTTCCTCCAGACTTTCCGTAAAGCTTCCGTCATCCTGTGTTGGTACAGATAGGCCATTTTAGTGGTCTTTGTTGCGAGATTTCTGGAGTCTCGCAGTCGCTGAAAGTGTTGCAATCTTCTCGCAGTGCCTCCTTCATGACTCCCTCTCTGATTTCTTCAATTCCAAGTCCCCACTAGACTTGGCTCTATTAAATAATTGGTGAGATTTTTTGTGCAAAATGTCCAGTTCCCTATTCCACCATGGGATGTTCGTAGAACGTTTTTTTTTGTTAAGTTCGCAGCTATTTTCAAAATCCTCTGTAATAATGTTTTCATCTTTCTTAACTTCAAGATTTAGTTCCTGACAATTAGTTATTTTTTTTCCCAAGGCAACAAATGTTTTGTTTTAAATAGATATTATATAGCGACCAGTTGGTCTTAGCATCCTTATGAATACACTCGCTAGAGTGGGATCTAGTACCTAGGTTCATTACATTTATTTATCATCATTAAATTGTTAGAAATGATATAATCAAAAAATGTCTCACCTCATATATTAGTGTCCCTGCTTCCCCATACTGTATGGTATGCTTAGTCTACATACGTTTTTGTATATATACAGTTTATGCACTACTTTGTGGCCAATAATTCTTGAATGGCCACAAAATCCAGACAGTGTTGTTCCACCAAAACTAAGTCTATATGAGACTGCTATATACTGGCGGAGGTTTCCTGCAAGAGTCTTACGATCGTGGCGGGGTCCGCGACATTATTTTCCTTCCAGACCTTGCCACTTTTCATACCGCGCAGCAATTCTGCGGCCTCCGAATCTTTCTTTTCCCACTTGCTAAGACGACCAGAGAGAGCAGAAGACTTTCGGTCTTGGGCACTGATTCTGCCCACTCTCAGTGACTTCTGGCTGCTTAACAGCAGAAGCGACCACAGATGTTGATGGTTGCTCATCAGCAACCACAACCTTTGCTAAGTCCATAAAAAACTTTATTGTCCAGCTTTTCAACCATTTCTGATGAAATGGATTCCAGAGCAGTCGCCATCTCGACGAAATCGCCCTTATTAAGTCCGTGAAGCATGCGTCAATTCCTGACACGCACGCCCGAATTTTTGCACTCAATTTGTCCCAAAATTCTGTCGTTTTGCCAAGAAGCAGAGGCTGAGCAGAGGCTCGTCCAGACAGTTAATGATAAATCCGGGCTGTAGACTGTAGCCAGCAAAGTGAGGCTTCACCCCAGGAACTCGATAAGAATTACGCACTTTTCCATATCAATCCAATTGCGCACTTATCCATATCAATCCAATTGCGCACTTATCCATAACAATCCAATTGCGCATTTTTTAATATCTAAATATTATTTTCACTTAAACTTTCCTTTGTTTTTACTTTACTTTTATCACTTGCTAGTATATAATTGCAGTAATGACTTTGATTTTTGTTTTGTTTTCATCCTTCATATAATCTTTTGTCATTTCAAGCTCTACTTAAGAGTAAACAATTTTCATACCGTCAGTTTTTTTTTTTACTTTGTATTTACTTTGCGCGGTTCAGTTTTTTTTATTAAACCACTTGCGCATATAAAATGACAACTCTGACTTTGATTTTATGTACACGCTTTGTATGAATTTGTGGTTCTGTTTGGTGGACTGAACCTCTAGTCAAATGTACGCTCAGTTCAGTGACGACGCGTGCCCTATCTGGAAGGGTGTGCGGCCCTTCTTTAATGTTGTTTTTACATGTACCACTTATATTAAAATATATGACATCTTTTATTAATAATAACTATATTATATAAGGCAACAATATATTCGCGCAATATTATATTAACAATTCATTAACAAAATAACATATTAAACAAATTAAATTAATAATTTATATATAAATTTAATATTATATCAATATGGAAGAAACAAAACTTTTCACATAATTCTCGTAACATCAAACCAAATTTTTTCAAACAAAAGAGTTTGTACTTAAAAACATACATGTTTGTGCAGTGATCAAACAAAATCGAAACCACTTGCAATGTGCGCACAAGTACCCCGCACAATAAGAACAGAAATTCGTGGGTGCTGCTGTTAAAAGGGGAGAGACGAAATGTGATAGAAATGTATGGTGAGATGAGCTGCAAACTTCAGCCGCTCATGCAACCACTTTGGCAAATCATCATGTTGGATTCGTATGCATACAGTTGATATTCGAATAGAACAGAAAATTACTCTCATACAATTCCCACTATATAAATCTCTATTTCTGATATTACGAACGGGAGCACACGCACATTATTTTGTTCATATGTAACGTATGAATGTGCGGCCAACTTCTTAGCACACAAAGGGGAGAGACGAAATATAATAGAAATGTTCTGTGATTTGAGCTGCAAATATATGAGCACAACTAACAAGTATAGCGGCTAACAGAAGCAAATTAATTGAGTTTTCATAGACAATTATATTTAATTGTTTTTGCTAAAACTTTAAAAATATATATTTATATGGAAATGTAATAAATAATAATAATTCTTGATGTAAAGATACTTAATAAATTTATATACCTATGTTATTTAACATTTTGCAAATTATATTAGGGTGTTCACCGCACACCTCCGCACCTTAGAGCAGTCGTCACTGGCTCAGTTATTTCTCTTATCTTTTGTATTTGCTTTACAAAGGCTTTGAGGGTAACTTTTGAATCGCTTGCTCGTAACTTTTAAGTATAATATGGTATATATATATATATTATATTGGATTCGGTAAGTTAATCTCCGTGTCTTATACGCACTCCTCGAGAGGTTAGAGTGAGAGCAGTCACCCGAATTGGGATTAGTGTTGGTTGCTGCTAGTGTAGCGGTTAGCATTTTTGATTTGACCGGGGCATTAACAGAAGAGCAGGAGGCAGTGTTACCACCTGGCATAGTTGTCGAGGTGCTCAACGATGAAGCAATACTTGTGCTGTCTGTCCGAGGAGGGACTTTGTAATGATGATTGTTTATAGACGCTTACCTTATAAGGCTTGTGCATTATTGTGTTGTACTTGTTTTCTCCTATATTGTTGGTTAAAGCCTCCGCGATTTCTCCCTTGGTAATCACGTTGTGGTTGTGATTGTGTAGAGTACCTATTGTTGTTATTATACCTGTTTTGTGGTGTGTAGCTGTTAGTGTACCTATTTCGTCCTCTTTGGTTTCTACGATAGCCAACGGGTTGGTTCGGTACTTTTTGTACTTTTAAAACTCTATTTGTATTCCCGTGAGTCTGTTCGACTCTTAATGATAGATTAATGGCTTCTAAAAGTGTTTTAGGTTGTGCAGCTAATACCACGTTCTGAATATCTTCTCTCAAACCGTCTGTATACACTGTCAAACCGTATTTATCGTTTAATTTATGTACTAACGCTTTTTCGGATTGTGTAGGTTCAGAGCCTAGTTCTTTAATTTGTAAGGCTGACAATTCGTATACTAAGTTTGTTATTCTGTCTTTATAGATTGTTACCGAACTGTTCTTTTGCGTGACGGAATTGAGTGAGGTCTGTATTTGTGCAACAGTTTGTTTGTTGCCAAAATTGTGGTCCAAAATCCCTTTCAATTCTGTTATAGTTTTGGGACAGATTACCGTACTCAACAAATGTTTTATTTTTGGTGAAATCTTTACCGAGTAGGCTATTTTCACTAATTTTGGGATTTCGTCTGCTTTAATGGATTCAGAAAGACATTCTATAATCGCTATAAAATGTTCTATTTCAGTGTATTTACCAGTAAATTCTGGAACTGTTTTTAAAACGGATTCTATATTTAACGCCGACATGTTTAATTTTTGGTTTAGGAATAAAATGAGATAGTCATGCGTTTCACTAAATCTGAGTTCTATTTCTCTGAAAGATTTCTGATCGTGAAGTTTGTTTTTCAAATCTTCAAATTTTAATCTAAATACCTTTATTTCTTCAAGTTTTTCTAATAAAAACTTACTAGTATAAATCCTATTTGGCGTTTTCTTAAAGTTAATCTTTATTTTATTTAAATTATGTAACAATTGGAGTACATCCTCCATTTATTTTTTTTTTCGATTTTCTATTCTTATTAATAAATACAATATAATGAACCCTACAATTACTACAGCTATTGCTGAAATTACTATATATGTATGATACTCTTTTAAGAGTATAGATATGTTAGATCTACTATACATTTGATATAAGATTTTTGAAATATAATATAATATGATTTTTGAAATATATCAATTTAAATAATTTTACAAATTTTTAATTAATTGATTTACATAATTAATTAATTTGCTGTGTTTAGTATCTAAATGTTTATTCAGGTTTCTATTCGTGTGGTAATTTTTACCGCATATAAAACAAGTAAACTGATTCATAATGGAAAGAAAGTTTTATTTTCAAATATATATATATTTTCTATTTTTTTTTTTTTTAAATATTTTATAATTAATTTGTAATCTAATTATGCAGATGTAGTTATGGCTCTGCTTATTTTTCTGTTTACATATGCTTTATAATAAATGTTTACTTTGTATAATAAAAATATTCCTAAGGCTATTGCACCGACAATAAGAAGGGATGTTTCAGTTACCACGAGTGCCGTCGTATTGTTATTGATGACTTGTTGTTTTGAATTGCTGGAACCCATTGTCTTTAAGCTTCTTCAGTTGGTCTATGTATTTGTGTTGCACTTCCTGATTTCTGCTTACGTGTATTAGATAGTGTAATTCTTTGATTTTTGCCTTAAATGCCTTTTTTGCTCCTCCTCTCTTTGTTGTTTTTTTTATTAAAGGCTTTGGAGGTGTTGTCTTCTTGTTACGCCTTCTATATTCCTCTATAGATAATGGTTTTGGCCCGATTGTTTTTATTAATGGGACATATATTGGTGCGTTGTTATTGGTACCTTTAGATGTGTATTCCTCGACTTCTGGCTGGTCAGGTTGACTGTTTCGTTGAAAACTAATGGCTTGTTGCAGGCACTTGTTCCACATATGATGAAAATCGTTCATTTTCTTCTGTGGTTATTATGTTTCTATAACGCATATATTCTTTTTGGAATCTTTGAATTATTTTTGAATTCTTTAAAAAAGACTTGAATCAATCAAAAAAAAATCGTAATGACTGGGTAAAAATTTTTTTTTTTTTTTTTTTTTTTTTTTTTTTT